CCGCTTGCGTTAAACCATTGTAAAAAAAAAATACAATTTAGAATTGTAAAAATTCTACTACAATAATTAAAATCGACAATTATTATAATTGATCGAAATATTATTTGCACTTGGTCATAGAACGATTAAGCCAAATACGACGGTATGCTAATAGACGAGCTCGAAGAAATAGTTTAACGGCTTCCACGGCACTGGCTCATGTCAGGACAGTTAGGCTGCCGCGTTTGGAGTTCGCCTATCGTCTCGTCGACGTCTTAAAGCCCTCATTAGCGTAGCTCGTCACCTTCGACAGGCGGACCGGGAAAGGGTGAATTAGCGTTGTCAATATTTGCGGTGCAATCAGCCCGCTTCGACTTCCCGTCCCCGTCGTTTCGCTCCGCGATCGTCCGCCTTCTCGGCGCTGACTCTCTGATTGTAATCCACACGGTGGCCACGCTGTTGTTGTTGTCTTTTCTCATTTTGCCGAGTCGTTCGCCTGATACGTGCAGCCCGGATCCGTTCTGATTTCGGTCTAATCAGAAAGCCCGCGACTGCGATTTCTCGCTCGGCGAGCTGGATCAGCTTGTTACACCAGGCGATGCGCCGTTGCAGTCCTTTATCAGCACGACCATCCCCTCCGTCGACCATAACTAATTGTTTTTCTTTTTCCGAGGATGCCTTCGAAATTAAATAATAGTTTCGCCCGAGCTCGGCGACTTCGATCTGCNTAGATCGAGAGAGAGAGAGAGAGAGAGAGAGAGAGAGAGAGAGAGAGAGAGAGAGAGAGAGAGAGAGAGAGAGACTGACCACCGATTCACGTTCGCCTGTTAGTCTACCGAATATGTATACATATACGTACCTGGAGTATAGAGGATCGTTGTACTCTCGGACGACACTCGTACAACAGTGCGGCGCGGTCGCATAATGTTACGTTTATACCTGACATTCATCATTAGCCGGCCGGTAATTTATGTTGAACAGGGACGGTTCGGCCGAACGGGCTAATTAATATAAATTGCCGGCGCGGGGATTACAGGGCCGCGGCGCCGTGACGCAATTCATTGTGTACTTTGCGAATCGGACGAAAGCCGATTAAGCTTGCCAAGTTACCACTGACGGACCTGCAAATATCCCCGCCGCACCTGCCTCCGGCCCTAATCAAGCCCGAAGCCCGACGAGCCCCGAAAACACGCGGACGTTTTTCTAATTACCCCCCCCAAAAAATTGAAGAAATTCTTTCGATCGTAGTTTAATCGATCGGAAACTCGGCATTTAATTCGGCAAATTGAAAAATCAGCCGATCGATTCGAAAAGAATCTAATCAATTTCAATATTACAATGTTTATTTTATAATGGAAAGTTGAGAATGTTAAAAAATAAGAGAAAGGTTCTAATTGATATAATATAGTTACTTGAAATTTATTGGATTTAATTGCTTGAAATTTATTGAATATAATTACTTGAAATGTATTGAATATAATTACTTGAAATTTATTGAATATAATTGCTTGAATTTTATTGAATATAATTGCTTGAAATTTATTCAATATAATAACATGAAATTTATTGAATATAATAACTTGAAATTTATTGAATATAATTGCTTCAATTTTATTGGATATAATTACTTGAAATTTATTGAATATAACTACTTACAATTACTTGAAATGTTAATTAAAATTCCAGATAAAAGCTACCGCTTGCGTTAAACCATTGTAAAAAAAAAATACAATTTAGAATTGTAAAAATTCTACTACAATAATTAAAATCGACAATTATTATAATTGATCGAAATATTATTTGCACTTGGTCATAGAACGATTAAGCCAAATACGACGGTATGCTAATAGACGAGCTCGAAGAAATAGTTTAACGGCTTCCACGGCACTGGCTCATGTCAGGACAGTTAGGCTGCCGCGTTTGGAGTTCGCCTATCGTCTCGTCGACGTCTTAAAGCCCTCATTAGCGTAGCTCGTCACCTTCGACAGGCGGACCGGGAAAGGGTGAATTAGCGTTGTCAATATTTGCGGTGCAATCAGCCCGCTTCGACTTCCCGTCCCCGTCGTTTCGCTCCGCGATCGTCCGCCTTCTCGGCGCTGACTCTCTGATTGTAATCCACACGGTGGCCACGCTGTTGTTGTTGTCTTTTCTCATTTTGCCGAGTCGTTCGCCTGATACGTGCAGCCCGGATCCGTTCTGATTTCGGTCTAATCAGAAAGCCCGCGACTGCGATTTCTCGCTCGGCGAGCTGGATCAGCTTGTTACACCAGGCGATGCGCCGTTGCAGTCCTTTATCAGCACGACCATCCCCTCCGTCGACCATAACTAATTGTTTTTCTTTTTCCGAGGATGCCTTCGAAATTAAATAATAGTTTCGCCCGAGCTCGGCGACTTCGATCTGCGGTAGCTCTGGTTAAAAAAATCGTACAACAATGTAGCTTAGCTTATTTTTAAGGGCGAAGCATCTACTTTTGATATCCCAAAACGATTTTTTTCTATTGGGAACGTTTCAGAAATAAAATAATAATAATAATTTCAGAATAATTTCAGAAATTGAAATGTCACTTTTTGGGGGTGGGAAAGTTTGACGTATTGTAATTTCGTTTAAAAAAATTGTACGGTGATGTATTTTAGCTCATTTTAAAATGGGAAGTCTCTACTTTTAGTAACGCTAATTGATTTTTTATTGGCGATTCCTTTGCGCTAGGAACCGAGCGACAAAACGACCGAAGTCCGCTTAGAAAATTGCTAAAACCGGAATGCCCCCTTTGAGTTTGTCAACTTTGACCTATCGTAATTTCATTTAAAAAAAATCGTACAGCAGTGTAATTTAGCTAATTTTAGAGCATGAAGTCTCTACTTTCAATATTCTTAAACGATTTTTCACCAGGAATATTTTTGCACCATGAATCAATCGTCGAATCGACTATAGTTTACTTAAAAAGTAGATAAAACTGAAACATCCCCTTTGGATTTGTCAATTTTAATATACCATAACTGTATAAAAAAAAAATCCTACAGAAATGTAACTTAGCTCATTTTAAAGCGCGAAGTCTCTTCTTTCGTCTCGTATAAGTTATCAATTATGTTAGAGACGATTAACCGGTAGGGAATTCAATATTTTCACCGAACGATGTAGCCTCTTTCACCTTCGGACTCCGCTTCGGTCCCATTTCGCCGACTGTATCGTACCCCTTCGTTTTCTAGGGCCAGGATTCACCTTCCACAGTCGTTCGTCGTTCCTCTCTCTCTCCTCTCTCCTCTCTCTTTCTTCTCTCTTTCTCCTGTCTCGGTGGCGTGACACATGGCCAGCATTTATAGTGCGAGATAGCGCCGGCGGTTCTCGACAGCGCCGGCAGATTTATCCTCCACGGTTATTGGAGTTATACAAAGGATTTTTCCAACTGATCCCATAAAGTATCTGTGCCTGATGCCCTATTATTTACGCAGCCGGCTGATGCCGCAGCCTCGGATCCTCTGCTATCCGAACACCGTTTGATATTTCAACCTCGACGCGGAAACTGCTATTGTTAACGCGTTCCACGTAAACATTAACTCCGCGAGGATATTTCTGAGCCGACGGTTATTCTGTCGACGGTGCCTGGGTCTATTTTGAACCTGCTGCGAAGTCTTTTTAAACATTTCGTAATTTTTATTCGATTTTTCGCTGTTTGGAAGTTGAGAAGACAGTGAAAGTTTTTGGAATAATTATTTTTATTATTTCGTATAATTATTGTATGAGTCTGGCGTGCTGGGTCAATATCGAGCTAGATTTTCGAAAATTGTAAATTTTCGGTTAATTGGTTAATTCGTTAATTCCGTGCAGGATAAATCGAGCACGACGACTCGACGTATCAGATTGTAGCTGATTAATCAGGTTAATCTCGGTTAAATCTAATCGGCGATTGGCATTAAGATTGTTCTGTTCAAATGGACGTGTAATGAGCACCCTGGCGGCATAAAATTCCATTAGCTTGTTCGCGTGATCTACTTGTTGCGTTCTTTTAAATAAATTGTCCGATTCCGAAGCTCTGCTACAATTTCGTGTTAAATGCTCTCTCTCACAATTAATACGTCTGCGATGGAATCGCAACGATAGTCAATACGAAATTAAAAATACCGTGTTGTTCTACGAGCTATGGTGAATATTTCCACCGAATTTGGCGTTATTTGAGTCCGTTGTTTCGACAGGAAAAATATTCGAAATGTTCATGTTTGTTTTTTGAAATTGCTCCGGAGAGAAGTTCGTTGATATCGAACCTATTGTAACTTTGTGATAAGGAATTCGATCTTCGTCTATTTTAGCTCATTTCGAAGCTTGAAGCCTCTACTTTAATCTAGCATGTGATGAATTTTTTATCAAGAATTTTTTCGCGCTTGGAATTCAGCGTTAAAGCAAGACTGTTCGAAAATTTTGCATATTGTCTCTCAATTCATAAACTTTGACTTTTCGTAATTTACTGGAAAAAAATCCTGCAACAATGTACCTCAGCTTATTTTAAAGCTTAAAGTCTCTATTTTAACCTAGTGTAATCAATTTTTTATCAGAAACGTTTTCGCACTTGAAAATTCAGCGGTGAAGCAAGAATAGTCCATGTCGAATATTTTGCATATATCCCTCGTGAATTAGCAATCTTTCATCGAACATGACTCCGTGAAAAAACAACGTACACCAATGTAGCACAGCTCATTTTAAAGCTTGAAGTCTCTACTTTCGCCATGCTAAGCGTCGCCTCCGAAATCGAACAATTCCATGGGGAAGAATCGCGATTTCTACGACGAAGCAGATTAGCAATGGTTCCCTCGTGTCCAAAATAAACGACGATCTTCTCTGTTGTTCGCCGGCGGAATTTTCGCAAACAGCCGCGAAACGTTTGGTGCTGTTAGTCGCGTCTGTTCTTTTTTTCCTCTCTTTTTCGTCCCGCGCTGAAAGTAGACACACAGTGGTTTTCTGTTTCGCGGGAATCGTTCCTCGAGGAGACGACACGTACTGAGGAAAACCTGTTTCGCCGCTTTTCCAGGACTCCGAGGGCGACACTCCGCTCCACGACGCGATTTCTAAGAAACGGGATGACATTTTGGCTCTGTTGTTGGACCATGCCGCAGACATCACCCTCACGAACAACAATGGCTTCAACGCGCTGCACCACGCCGCTCTCCGTGGAAACCCAAGGTGAGTCTCGAAAGCACCTTAGCGTTTTCGACGTGACGCTTTTGTCCGCGGCTGCGGCGTCGTCGTCGTCGTCGTCGTCGTCCTCCTCGTCGCCGCGACGCCCCTGAATGTCTGACTGTCGGCGGTAGAGTTTAACGGCGGCGACGTCCAACGATCCGCCGGGTCTACAAACGGCCCCGGGCCGGATGACAATTAAGAATAGCTGGCAATCCCCCGCAGCCGAATAGATGTTTTTGACGCGATTGTCTTAAAGGTTTAAGGAACAGGTCGATTTCACCGGAGTTACTCCGGACGGATTTCCTTTAAAGTCTGCCGGGATGTTCTACGTGGCAAATTAGGGGGAGTTTTAGTCATCGATTCGTCGGTTTTTCATTTGTTTATAAATGCCAAGCGTTTAGATTTTTCACCGTTTATTGGATACTCGTGAAATGACAGGTTGCACAAACGTATTTTTATCTCGGAGACTGTTTATCCGATCGGGTTGAATCTTTTTGCATTGGAAACAGCGAGGATTGTTTATTGTGAGGCTATTTTTCTTAGATTGAGAAGTAGGTTTTGTAATACGGAGAATTAACAATGAATATGACCGTGAGGTAAATGCTCATAGATTGAGCAATGTGGTCGGATTAATTGTTCATATTCTCTATTATAGTTTATTTTTAGTGAGTTATATTGTAGTTCATAACAAATTAGATGGGGTTTAAGTCATCGCTTTGTCGATTTTTCATTTGTTCATAAATGACAGTCGCTTAAATTCGCCAACGTTTACTGACTCTCCTGAAATGACGCGTTGCACAAACATATTTTTATCTCGGAGACTGTTTATCCGATCGGCTTGAATCTTTTTGCATTGTAAACAGCGAGGCTCGTTTATTACAAGGCTAATTTTCGTTTGCTCAAGGAGTCGATGCTGCAATACCGAAAATTACGCAAAGATGTACCACTTCGGTAAAGCCGATTATACTGCTGAAGTTACGAAGTTTCTTGCGAGCACCATTTGTTTATATCCGCCGTTTAGATCATTTATCAATTTGTCCCTAAGAAAACTGTTTCGATGAAACAGAAATAGTCTCATGATGAACGAACAGACTCATTGGACAACCTAACATTATATTACAATTTCGCCGAATGGGCGAGCACACGGTGTGCTAAAATCGCTCGGTTTGAATGAACATTTTATTCCGAGGATTAAACTGCAACACCAACTAGCACGATTAAAGCTGAAAACCCAGCGGGCTCGGGTTTTCTCGTATTTCCAGAATCTCCTCGACAAAAGCCACAACGAGCCCACTATAATTCTTCCAGCCGCGCGATTTCCGATTGTCGACAGCCCTCCGACCCACAACGTCGGTGCTCCCACGCATCCTTGGCACCGGGTTCGCTGCCGGGAACCGAGTCAAAGAAAACTTCATTAGCTTTGAGCACTCACTTCACCGAAACTGTGCTCAACAAATTAGTTCGGAACCGCGCGCGCGCGCGCGCTCTCTCTCTTTCTCTCTCGCGCGCGTTTAGCGTTCTCGCGTAGATCCGGATCATTCTGCACACCGACTAGCGGGAGCCCGGTGCCCCGGGAGTTGCATTATGATACCCTAGATCAGCCTAGATCGTCCTTAATCCAATCCCGGGCTCGTCTCGCGTCGGGTGACAAGGACCGCCGCGCGTCGATTCACGAGCGGATCCGACCTGCTTGCCGGCGCCTGGAAATTCTGCGACGGTCGCAGGGGGTCGCGAGGGCTGGCAGAAAACCAGGCTAATAGGTTCCCTTTGAAATGCATCCTCCGCAGCGATGCGGCACACACATCTTTCCGCGGTAATCAGCGTCCTTCGGTTTAAAAGCGACGATGCCGGCTAATATCCGGCGGCTGTGGACGCGAAAACCAACCCCGTTCGTCGCTCGAACAGTGAAAGACGAGCTCCGGGAAGCCGTGCTCGGGGCGCACGCAACCATAGATACGACTCTGACTGATTTAACCCGCCGTCGGTAACGCGGACACCGCAAACATCGTAAATAAGGGCCGGGGAAAATAGAATTTTTAAATAGCGAATGGACCGTGATATGGTTTTATTCGCGATTTTATTTGCGATACAGAAATCGCCGAGTAAACCTCGTTTGGAAATAATAGTTGCACGTGGAAATTGCATTTTGGATATATTTAAAATGTATTGGCTGTATCAGTGCTAAAATTATCGAGCCCTAAACGCGACTATTCTATATTGTTTTATAACAGTGCCAAGATTGGATTTATTTAAACCGAGTACAATTTTAATACTTTTAATACTACCTAAAAATTATTTAATTATAACGTAAGCTAAAAATTTCACCCGGAAATATTGTTACGATATCGGGAACTGTAAAAGAGAAAATCAGAAACCAGTAATTTTTGCCCCAAACGAAACAGTCGCGTTGTTTCTAAATTTTCGGCGTTATAAAATTACCTCTACGGTGAAATGAAAATAGCCCAACGATAAAACGCGCCTTACCGAACACGATGAAAAAAGAATCAGCACGATCGGACGAATGATAACCGAGATAGAAATTCGCAACTGCAACCGGAATTTTCGACGGATAAATAAGACTATAAAATATTCAAGCGCCCGTGTTTCGCGAACGAATTCGAAACGGGCGAAGTGATCACTTAAACTACCCTTAATTCGGCCCATTTCACAACGTGGTTCATCGTCACCGGCACGCCTAACTCGCGCGTGCAGAAAAAAAGTGACCGTTTCGAGCGACCTACTTGGAAACTCGTTAATTTCGTCCGGCGAAAAAGACGCGAATTGGTTCTTGAACTTCGCTCGCGCGGTTATTTGGGTCGAAACGAGCGTGTTTAACGAACGGGTCGCGCGGGTCAGTTGTGCGATTCCGTTTGATTGTCGAAAAGCAAGCACCGTGCCGCGCGCCGAATGGATAATTTATGAAATGAAAATATTCGACGTTGACCAATGGGGGAAATTCGTCGGATAGGAGCCGGTTTTTGTATAAATCAGGGCGTTCCGGCGTGTCCGAATGGGCCGAAAAATCCGTCTCGTTCCAGCCAGCGACCGTTTCTCGTGCCGTTGGAAACGTTTCACGACCGTTTCCGGGTCCCTGGGAAATACAGGCGCCGGATGCGCATAGTAGTCGCGCAATCACAATTACGTGGCACCTACTTGCGACCTGTCCGTGTCAGCGATTCGCCCGTTTCCACGCTCTGTTGCGATATTGTTCGCCGAAATAACGGCCGAGTGAACCTTCCCGGTGCTCCGATCGCGTGAAACGTCCACGGAAAGCGAAAATAGATCATTACCGTGAATCAACGTCCCGCATTTTCCATCGAGCAGCTGCGAAAACCACGGATTTTTTGTTCAATTTCCAAGATGAACACGCGATTGCACCGAGTCGCACTTCGACGATTCTGTCGAAACTCCGTCGCGTTGTAGTGCAGGCCAAATTAGGGGTGGTTTAAGTCATCACTTCGTCCGTTTGTCATTCGTTCGTTAATTAAAAATGTTCAAACATCGAAATGTCATCTCCGTGAACGGGTGTCGCAGCGAATTCTTAATTTGGAGACGATTCATCGTGTCGAATTGATTTTTTTAACTGGAAGACGATGAGACATTTTGTCACGAGACTTTAGCGTGCCGATTTAGTCGTGTTTCAACTATGTTTCGAAATTTTTGCACGAGGAGAAAGTCAAAATTGAGTTTTCTGTTGCAGAATCGAGGATAGGGTAGCTAAATGGTTGCTAGGACTCTGCTATAAAAATGGTCGATGTTTGAGGTGTTGTAACTCCGTTGAAAAAAATCGCGCAACGACGTGCCTCGGCTCGTTTTCAAGCCGAAAGCTTGTACTTTAACCTTGTTCCATCAAAGTAACATTTTCCGTAAAAATCGATCAAGTAATCGCGCGCTGTCTTTCTCCTTAAAACATATAAGAAACTGGAAGTAGTTCCTCGTCCAACTTCAAGCAACCATAACTGCCACAAGAAAAATCGTACGACAATGCACCTTGGCTCGTTTCGAAGCTTAAATCCTGCAGTTTCGTCCTGTGAATCCTGAAGACCGTTCTCCTGATCCTCGCCGTGCTCGGCGCGCCTGAAGAGAGCAGCATCTCTCGAAATCGTCTGTAGGTATCCGGAGCTGAACGCGTGGCTCCCATCGATCGGCTCTAATTTGAGGGCACACAGGGATAGGGGGCTAGAACGAGGGAAGGCAGAACCACGGAAAAGAGGAGGGAGAAGTTTCGCCGGCACACCCCTGGAGACTGTAGCGTACAAAGCGGAGAGCGAGCGCGCAGGCAAAGGCGAAAGCGGAGAGCGAGCGGAAGGGAGCCAGGAAATTACGTCTCCGGACGTCCGTTCGTTCGGCTTCAGAGCCCGGGCGCAACACAAGACGCCCGGAGAACCTGCCAGGCTCCTTCGCAGACCCTGGAAAAGAGACAAGCAGCCGAGCAGAGCCAGCGAAAGAGGAGGCAACCGAGGAGAACCAGCACCGGGAGAGGAGACAATCTCTTGACTCGGCCCTGGCCAGGAGCGGCGACACGCCGCACCGACGAGCATCAGGCACTAACGTCTCGATTTTTCATATTCTGGATGTACGGGTATACAGGGTGTCCCGTCTATTAATGTCCAAGCAACGGAGTCGGTCTTATTTCATTCGAGAAGCGAGCACGATTTTATTCGTAGAATTTATGTAAATAAAATTTGATTCAGAGAATTTATTTATTTGAGAACTTATTCGAATAAAATTTCATTCGAAGAACTCGGTGGATATATTGTTCGAGTAAAATTCGATTGGAAGAATCTATCGAGTATTTATTATTGGAATCGAATTTTATTCGGAGAATTTATTGGATATACATTGTTCGAATAAAATTTTATTCGGAGAATCGATTGGCCAGAATTTGTTCGACGAATTTATTGGATATATATATTATTCGTGTACAATTTTGTTCGAGGACGAATTCATTCGAAGTATCGTTCGAGTAAAATTTTATTCGAATTATTCTGAAATGAATTTCG